TCTGATAATAGAACAACTGAGAAATCAACTTTTACTGAACCGAGTGAGTATTATCCTCCCACCTATCACTAAGGTGTATTTAGGCAGGGCAGCAGAGTATTAGAGGCATGTGGGGGAAATGGGGAAAATATGAGACGGGATCAGTTTGGGGGAGTGTGCTGTAACAACCTGCACGCTTGGAAGGTGGGGCAAGGACCTGATTCTGTTAGTGAAACAGAATAAGGACAGACGGGGCGGGCAGAGAGGGGGGGTGGGGGGAGGCTAGCAAGGTTTGAGTGAGGATTGCGAAGGGAGGAAGCAAAAACCTTGAAGAGTCTGTAGTGTCTCTGTCATTTTTCTTTTTTGTTTGAGTGTTTATCTTCAGTATTTCGTACAAATTCTTATCTGATACTGATATCAGAAGCTGAAGGAACTCATTAAGATTCCTTCCGTAAAACCTTGTTCTAGTTCCAGTTTCCTATTACTGAGCATGTATGGTTTCTCTATTTGTTCCCAATCTCATGGTTCATATGACAGGTTCCCCGAGGGGCTGCTGCTTCTGTATGTTTCAAGACTGGACTTGCTCACCTTGAGCTAAATCATCTTTCAGATGCTTTGTCTTGCTTTAATGAATCTTTTCTTGCATTAGCTAAGGAACAATCTCGTGGAAGTGATATAAAAGCTCAAGCAACTATCTGTGCTCAATACAAGATAGCAGTTACTCTTCTTCAGGTACAATTACCATGGTTCAATTTTTAATGACATAGATAGAATGGACACATAGATAGAATGGACTCTGACCTAAAAATAAATTTGGTAATTGAGCTTCAGTTTCTCTAGACCATAACACGGCACTATCATAAAATTGTAGTTCAAGATTTTCCATGCTGTTTGTTGTGTAATTAAGCAAGCAATGATATCTGACTCCTAAGATAGCAAGCATTAGATTCAATAAAAGGGATTATTAGAATCTCTGCTAATGGCCTAATGTCTTAGTCAATCTGGAATTGTATACAAAGAAAAGGTAAGTTTTTTCCCTTTGATATATGGAACCCGACGCTAAGATTTTTAATTTCAGTTTACGGTCTAAGGTGCAAGAAAGAGAGAATAAACCATTGTCTACAGACTACAGTCTACACTTATAGTGAATTGAGCCAAAACTATTTTTTGTGGTCGCCTTGGTGGTCAATCAGACCTGGTAAATTACACCAGAGGTCTTTATCCTTACAGCCAAGTAGATGTTGCTTTTATCTGTTTAGATATGAACCTCCGAATTTGTTTCGCTTTTGCATTGGAAGTATTTGTTCCTTTATTACTTTAAAGCTGTCTTCGTGATTGCAGGAAATTGGACGTTTGCAAAAAGTCCACGGTCCAAGTGCAATCAGTGCAAAAGATGAGATGGCAAGACTTTCACGCCATCTGGGTTCATTGCCTCTTCTGGCTAAGCACAGAATAAATTGCATTCGAACTGCCATAAAACGAAACATGGAGGTGCAAAATTATTCATATGCCAAGCAAATGCTAGAACTACTATCGTCTAAAGCACCACCAAGCAAGCAGGAAGAATTTAGGAGCCTGATCGACTTGTGTGTTCAGAGGGGTTTGACTAACAAGTCCATTGATCCATTCGAAGATCCTTCCCAATTCTGTGCTGCCACCTTAAGCAGGCTTTCAACCATTGGATATGATGTATGTGATCTGTGTGGAGCCAAATTTTCGGCTGTGACTGCGCCTGGATGCATCATCTGTGGAATGGGAAGCATCAAAAGATCAGATGCACTCACAGGACCAGTTCCTTCTCCATTTGGTTGAGTCGCCAAGATTGTAGTTGCTCGTAACGTGTATTCCCCAGTGAAGCTGTTGCATATAGAGAGACTTAACTTCATTGGAGGGAGGATATACAACTGAAGGGAAGGGAAGGGGGGGCGGACACCGAATTCGGAGAAATTATGGAGTTTCTACATTTTTTGTGCACAGCTTTTGAGTTTTATTGTGATTGCTTCGGCGTACCTTTTTTTTTTTTTTTTTTTTTTTAATTTCCTTCCAGGGATTCTCTGGTGTTACAGAATGTTGTTTTCCAATAATTTTGCAAATTATATTGACCCCTTGTGAAGATACAAACACGAAGTTACAGAGCATAATTCTGCTATTAAGTAATGGATTCATTCGGCGTCATAATACATCACTTATTGGTTTAGAATTTATCTGGATAGTCAACAAGAGTCAACAGGTAAGAGTGAAAATTTAATTCTTGCGAAAAATCATGTATTGTTAACTACAAGTATTTTGAAAGAGACTAATATTCTCAAGTTTACGCATTAAAGGTGGAAACTTCTCTGGACAATATTTTTTCATACTCAAATTTTGAGAAGAACCGAAGATTACACGCTTAACTAATCTAAAACTCTTTCCACCCATACCAACACTTGGTAGTGTTACACTTTATTTTTTATTTTATTTTTTGTACATGTGTTACACTCTTCTTCATTGTACCATGAAGTTTACTGTCTAATTTGTAATTGGGCATACCTATAAATAAATTTATCTATTATTTATATGTGATAGGTTATTCTGCTTATTTTCATTTTGTCTACTTTTGTCTACCCCTTTCATTATCGTTCGATTACAATTTAATCCAAGATTCATATTTGTGAAATAAAATAAATTTTGTTCCCTCTTTTTTTTTCTCACTTCCTCCCACACTGTTTCTCTCTCCTCCCTTTTCTCTCTTCCTCTACGTCACACGAGAGATATTTTTTTTCCTTCGTTGCTGGTATAATAATCGGTGTTGGATCATTATATATGAGAAATAATTACATGAAGCTAAATATATATACATGAAGCTATACATTAATCGAATGGTCCATATATAAACTAAACATTAATCGCCGGTATAAAAATTGGGTTTATATATATTTCGTTTATATATATTTATATACATGAAGCTAAATATATATGAGACAACTTTCTGTTCGATTAAAATTGCGCTTTACGATAGCCTCTGATCATGGTTTTTCACATGTAAGTATTGGGTTCCTCGATTTGGTCGAAAAGAATGAGGGAAAAAAAAATGTCTCCGGTATGATGTAGAGGAAGAGAGAAAGGGAAGGAGAGAGAAAGGATGTAGGAGGAAGTAAGGAGAAATAAAGGGAAAAAAAAGTTTATTTTATTTTGCAAATATGGACCGTTGGATTAGATTGTAATCGAACGGTAATGAAAGTGGTAGACAAAGGTAGGCAAAATGGGAGTAGGCAGGATAACATATCTATATATATATATATATATATATATATATATATATATATATGAATTTATCGTTTGTCAAGCTGCTTGAGATAATCTTATCTCCGGTTAGTAAATCGTAACCGTAGGCATAATGGAAGAGAGAGAAAAAGAGAATCATAATCATTCAATTTTTTGATCTAATGGCTCTCAAATGAGGTGTCAAATTTCAAATTTGACACCGGTGTCAAATGATCCTACCTCATATATATATATATGGAAAGGTTATAGTTACAACCTCTTACAACCATATATCATAACCGTTGATTTCTGCCAATCAACGGTTATGATTTTCGCAAATTAAACTCATTAATTAATTATTAATTTATAATAAATGACAACCGTTGATTGGCGGAAATCAACGGTTATGATATATGGCTGTAAGAGGTTGTAAAAAAAAATTGTAAGTATAACATTCCTTGTATGTATATATATATATATATATATATATATATATATATATATATATATATATATATATAAAGAGCTTTATTCTTACGATCTAAAAGTTTTATAATCTATTTTTTTACCGTAAATTTTCATCAATCCAATAATTATAATTTATTGGGTCTCATTTATTATTAATTATTAATTTTCAATAAATTATAAGCGTTAGATCAATGAAAATTAACGGTAAAAAAATAAATTATAAGAGTTATAAAATTTTTAAATTGTAAGAATAATGATTTTAATATATATAAAAAGATTATATTTACAAACTTGCCCAAGTCGCAACATCAAGCATGAGGGTATCCATTCCGCCGCTGAGACATGTATAAAGCAACAAATGTTGATTCACATAATCAACGAGATAGCGAAACTGCCATTTCCATGTATATTTCATGAGAGGATCTCATACAAATCAATGATAATGAAAAATGCATTGAGATAAAAGGGTAAAGCCGTAAAGGGTGAGAAAATAATAACCATTCATTTATATGTTAACGGCTGAAATTTTTTGAGGTGATCAATCACATGTCAACTCCATTCCTATATTTCTTATAAAAGCACTGTTAAGGACCCGATCACAGCATCCAAAAGGGCAAAACCCGTTCACATGCTAATTTTTTTTTTTTTTTCCATAGTCGCACATTTTTTTTATTAAGGGTGTAAATGAACTAATTCGGCTTGCAGAGACCTACAGCTTAGCTTATATTAGGTCAAACTTAACCTATTACAAATAATAAAATAGAACAAGCGTAAACTTTTAAAAAAACTTATTTAGAAAACAGGCTATATGTTTTTTGTACATATCGGTCTATAAGCCTACATCTTACAGGCCGACTTATATAATATTATTTATTTTAAATAAAATTATTATTTTAGTTATTCTTTTAATTGTTGAATGTTTAATAGGCTTAAACAAGTTAACAGGCCTAGGTCTAGGTTTTTATTTTTTAAATATAAGTCAGACCAGACTTGTAATTTGGAGCCTACACAGACTAACATGCCAGGCCAGATCAGATCTAATATTTTTTATACAGGTTTAAGTTATTTAAGTTAAAGTCTAACTTAATCCAGACTAACATGTCAGGCCAGACCAGATCTAATATTTTTTATACAGGTCTAAGTTACTTAAGTTAAAGTCTAACTTAATCCAGACTAATTACACTCTTATCTTTGATTATTTACTTTGTGTGTGAACTATCCAATATGCAAAAACCCACCACATCATAGTTCAGAAATCTGTGCTGAGTGAAGGGTTGAGTGATGAGCATTGAGCTATACCTCTCAGTGAGTTATTGGTGCAAAAGCAACCTAAAACTGAAGTCATAAGGCATCATTTGTACAAGCTGTGAGAGAGGGTGTTTTCCCCTTCTTTCAAGGCATTCAACTGCTTCCTTTCTGAGTTCAACGGGTAGTTGGAGGCTGACCCAATCCAACAAAGATTCCAAGTCCTTGGCAAAGTCAAGTAAATACCAGTCCAGTAACTTTGGGATTACCAACTTGTTTCTTTTTGTAATGCCAACTGCTGCTTGTAAATAATCTCTTTTTGCTGCTTCTAACTCATCATCAACTTGTGATGCGGTGTACACCCTTACCTTCATAAAATAAAAATATATTTGTTCCATCAATTCAACAAAACCAAGGAAAACAAATAGATTTATGAATTTATCCACATCGGGAAATAAATCCAGCGTAAAAGATTAATAATACTAACATTATAGTTTAATTTTGTATTATAATGATCTCATGAGTCTCCTAACTTATCCACTCATGGTTTCTTAGTTTTAGTTCCTATCCTAGATATTTCAATTTCTAGATTCAAACGAACACATAACACCTAGTTGATCACATAGTATGACCATAGCTAAAAAAGCAATTAATCAGTGTCCACATAACAATATTGTCGTCTGAATTGAGAAACAAACATACCGCAGGTGAAGACCAGCTTCCACATGAAAGTGCAAATGTAACCATGGGCTCAGACCATTCCAACCCAAATATGGTTCGTGCTTTGATCTCATCATTTTTTGCAGATTTTGGGAAGGTCTGTCGCAGGAAGCAAAGATGAAAATCAAGGGATCAATTGTAATCTACAAAAGCATGACGAGGACTTCAAAAAATTATAAAAAAAATTTGACTTCTAAAACAAAACCACAAGCAAAGAGTAGATTATGCGCTTACAAACTTCAGGTAATAAGGAAATCTCAAGATGAAGTGCTCTATTGTAATTGCATTGAGCAACTGGCCCCCCACTACTATTTTTGCCTGACACAAGAGCATTGCCAAGTTTTAGTCATCTTGATTGTTTATCTAGAGTTTCATCAAGACAGGACACTATACTTGGTAGTGTGGATGTGGGAAATAGATATACGAAGGTTAGAGCTAACGGTTAAATGGCTTCTATCCAGAATTATAGTAATTTTAGTAACTTAAATTAATACTTTGATACCTTTCGTTTGGGTTTATCTACTATCGACCCATCTAGTTTGGGATAAAAGTGTTGTTGATTTTTGATGCTGAAACTAATACTTTGATCAACCCTATTCTTCGGTATTCTCTGCTATAATATACATAGAATAATGATAGGAAATTTTTTTCTTAATTTACTTTTCTGTCTTATTGGTAGATCTTCTAGCAGCAATAAACAATAATTAGAAGTTAGATAGAAGAGCACCGAGAAATCCCTCATGTCAACATGGGATGGCAGCAAGGATCAACTGAGAAGGACAAGCAATGTTTCCGCTGCTTTGAATACTTTGTTCTTAAAAAAGAAAAAAATAAATAGAGAATATTAGAGAGATTATTGTACCTTCTGCATTAGTGCTACAACCATTTCAGGACTTTCAGGTATACCATGCTCTAAATATGCCTACAATATTAAAGCCAAATAATTGTGGTTATCCTCAGCATATTGCATTGCAGTGAGAAGTAGCAAATCAGTGACAGAAACTCAGAAAGGTATCTTACATTCAGCATGCAGGAATTGTAAGTGTTTATCCAAAATGCAAGTTTCTCTTGATGATTAAGACCCTTCAAGTTCACAGAGGCAAGCTTTCCAAGTAGGAACCTGAATATGTCTGTTAGATTAGATAGACACTCATAGTATCAACCAACAGCTAATTCTTTATAACTTACTTTAATCTATGGATCAGAAACACTGCATTTCTTTTTCGGTTGAGATCAACAGTTGAGGCTTTAATCTCACACAGTTTACTATATGCACCAATATCTGTCGTTTTGGATTCTGAACAGATACCATATGGATCACACAACTTATCCTTTTCCTTGCTGCATGGGCTGAAAGCAGTTGTAGAATGGGAAGGCGTTTTTGATTCACCTATTCTGTCCTTGAATGTGCCAATTCTCACAAATATGCTACACAAGCACTTGACGATATCCTCTGAAACTTTGTTGGGTGTGCTATCAACTTCTGATGCCTTATCATCTGATGAACTTGAGAAACAATGTGCTCTTTCCAGATCTACTAATCTCCACTCCAGCTGAACAAGCAAAACAATTCATTGTTGAAATGACAGCTCAATCATTTCACAAATTAATAGTAATTATTGAAAACTGTCTGGTACCTGCAACTTCAAGTGATCTACACACTTGTCAGCTGATTCTTGTTTGATTGGAGATTTCTTTACTGGAGTAATGACTTTGACCGTTTTCTTATCTGCAGATTGCTTATCCTTCAGAGTGTTACAAAACAATGGACTTTCTTTTCCCTGTCCCTCTTCTGTGATTGATGATAACAAATCTTGTTTCCCGTTGACTAGCTTACCAGTGTGATCAGTGACAATGTCAGAGGAGAACAGCTTTCTACTTGAAGCATTTCTTGCAAGAGAAAGCTGAGGCTTGGCCATGGTAGTTGAATTAACCTCACTTTGGGACAAAGATTTTGACCTTCGATGTTTGGAGCTCCTGATAGAGTTTTGGTCAATTGGGTCGTTCATATTTTCTGCATTCCTCTTGGAGGAAATGTACACAGCTTCCTGATATAGACATTGTCTGAAATTCACAACCTGCTCTTCTAGTCGAACCACCTCCTCCTCCAACACTGCTACTTCAGCCACAAGCTCTAATGTCTAAAATACGCATGCACAGTTTTCATCACTTTCCACATAAACAAAAAAAAAAAAAAATTTACTATAATTGAGATACAAAATATGCAATTGATCCCTGACTTCATCTGGTTTGTTCTAAATTTATTGCCTGAAAGGCTGAAACTCTTCAATCTATGTAACAAAGACATATTGCATTGCAAACACTTCAATCTATGTAACAAAAACACATTGCATTGCAAACAATTGATCTTAGCCAAAAGGCTGAGGAAGGTGTGCGGCTTAACCAGTTATCTCGAGTTCTAAGTTTTGGATATGCAGATGTGTTAAAAATTTGGTAAGAAGGGTTTTGCAATCCTTCCTACCTTGACGGGATTAGTCGAGTAATCAATGAACAGACGGAGAAATCTAAAAAAAGAAATACGTATTGCATTGCCCACTTTTTGTGTTCCACATATGCATGCACACAAGGGAAAGATGAAGAGAGATACTAACATGTGGAGGGAGATAAGGAGGAAGACGAGGAAGAGCCCCCAAAGGTCTCCTAAATGCTCTTTCTAACGCTCTGTGAACATTCTCTTCATGTCTGAGCTTCCTCTTCAACTTATCAACCTGCAAAGTTTGAAATCGTAAGTACACTGACAGATGATTCATAGAATAAACACTTTTGAGGGAGTGAAAGTACGAAAGGAATATCATTCACATACATCTTGTATCAAAGCCATTTTCCTTTCTCGATGGGATTTACGCCCATTTTTCACGGTTTTCTCGGCACTCCCTCGATTTTCCATCTTGTCCTACTTGGCACATTCAGTAATAAACAAATCTGTGGTAGAAACTTTGATTTCGGCGTGCAGGAAAAAGAAAACCATAAGGACAAGACTATTTGTTTAACATAAGAAGTGAAAGAACCCAGTTCTCAGATTTGGATAAAAAAAAAAAAACATACCCCAATACAATCTAATAGTACTGCAAAAAGGTAGAACATGTATGTGTTAGTGTTATGTAACATTGATAAAGTGAATTTGCAAAATGATAAACAACAACAACAACAATAATAATAAAAAGGCATTGTACGAACCAACTTCCGAGACAGAGTCACAAAGAAAGAAACTGAGATTTCATCCAATTCACAGAGCGGGAAACTTGAAAGCAGGGTAGGCACAAGAACGAACACCAATGCCAGGTTCTGCTTAAAAAAGAAATAATGGTTTTTGTCTTGCATAGTATTAAAAAATCTCGAACAGTGTGAAAACAAAGCAACAAAACCCCACCGCAGCAGGAGGAGGAGGAGGAAAACGACGAGGTTTCTTTCAAGCTTATGGCCTCATCCAATGTAAGTTATTCCAGTTGTTCTAAGTACCAACGTGGTATGAAAACAACAATAAAACCAACTCTGAATTCAAATGTTTAATGATGTTTTACTACTGTTGTGCAACAGCCAACATGCATATATTGCAATTTGCAAACAAATAAATATGGTTGAGGGACTTGGAAAGATAGATGGAGAGAAAAATTCTTGAGTGGACCATGATGTGTAACTACTAAATTTATTTTAGAATTTAGATATGTGAAATATATGTTTTAAGGAGAAGGATCTGTTTACAAATTTTTTTTATAAATTACACTATGTACTCTCGGAGAACATAATGTAACTTAGTGTTCCCGGAAGAACATAGTATAATTTGTAAACAAAAAGTTTGTAAATATAAGTCTTACCGTATTTTAATATGATATGTACAATTTGATCCGCCCCCAATAATATAGATTCTGTCCACCTAAAAATGTTTCTGGAGGATAAGTGGACTCACTACTTACTTACCCCTTATTATTTTATTATTATATTCGTTTGTCTCTGAACTGCTTCTTCATCTTTCATATTCTTTCAAAATTGTCATGGACTTTTGATGCATTCTAAACACATACACATTTGGATTATGGGATAGAGCTCTCAGGCAAAAATAAAAAAATAAAAAGAGAGAGAGATAGATAGAGAAAGAAGATTGTCTGTGTGCACTTTGCCGTTGGCTTGAATGTGAAAGTGAGTGTGACAAGCGCGCTTTTATTATGTTATAATTGCGGTACACTCTCTTCTCTCTAAAAATTTCTTTGGTGCTATAAATGTATCGTAAATTTGGTACATCTTCCATTTAGATTGTGACATGTGTTTTACTTTTGTCAAATCAATAATAAATAATTTATTTTAAAATTAGAAGAAAGAATGATTTGATATAAAGTAAGACACATATCACAAAATAAATGGAAGATGTACCGAAATATTCGGCTTCTCTCTCTGCCTATGTGTCTTCCCTTATATTGCCAAGTTCATTCTTTACATTCTCTGAACATTAATAGTAATTTACCCTCTTCAATTTCTTGTTTTTTATATATTCCCACAATGTTTGGAGCACGTTGAATGAACTAGTAATTCAAGATTGTGTTTCTACCTATAATTATTGGTTGAAGTGATAAAGAATTTCTTATCTTTAATTAAAAAACTTGTCGGGTAATGAAACAAAAAAATTGTGCTTCTGATCAGTGCTTAGTTAGTCGACTTTAAATGTTTTTATTAAATGCTGGTAATTATTAAAAAAGGTAAATATTAAATACACTTATCTATGAAGCACCGACACTTCAAAAATCTTGAGGTGTCGTGTCCAACACTTTCCGACACTCTCGGACACTCCGACACTCCAACACGCATTATAGAAATTCAAAAAAGAGGTTCCAAGGTTACGTTGCGTTGAGTTTTTAGTTCCAACTATTAGATTCGTTAGATTACGATTACTATTTTATTGAGTTTAATATAAATATTTGGGATATCTTATGTTTCTTTGCAAAATTTATTAGGCTTTAATATTTCTAAAGTGAATGTAGATAAATTATCTACATTTGCTCCCAAAACGACGTCGTTTTGGGTTGAAAATTTAAAAAATTATAATGAAAAAGATTATTATAACCTTGAAATAAATTATAATTACAAAAATACCTTGATTTCTGCCTCAAAACGACATCGTTTTAGGCTCAATGTAGATAAGTTATCTACATTGACTGTAGAAAAAGTGAACCCAATTTATTAATATTATCAATTTAGATTCATTTTTTTGTTAAATTATTGAATATTAAATATAATATATATTACATAAATTAAAAATATTATTTAATATCAAAACGTGTTCTAACGTGTCGAAATCTAACATTTTTTAGAATTAACGTGTCAGAGTGTCGTGTCGTATCGTGTCACGTGTCCCGTATCAGTATCGGTGCTACATTGACACTTATTTCAAATTTAATCTTTGTATGAAATTTTTTTAAGAGTAAACACCTTTTTTGGTCCCTGGCAATAAAAAAGGACCAAATTGGTCCCTAACAGTATGTAAAAAGGGCCACGTTAGTGACGAAGGAGTTGACATAAGGACTAACGTGACCCTTTTTTCATAATTTTAGGAACCAATTTGGTCTTTTTTTATTGTCAGGGACTAAAAAGGCTTTCGTAAATATTGCCAGGGACCAAAAAGGATGTTTACTCTTTTTTTAATTAAGTACCTATACATATAATTGCATTTTTTGTGTGTGGATACACGTATAATTATATTTAAATTCATTATGTTAGTTCTTATTTTAATTCTATGAGATTAATGTAGTTATTGTGAAGCATAAAGATGAGATTAACAATGATAAGAATAAAATTATTTTTTTTGTCCTTATACACAATATTTTTTGTTCAATTTGACACTTTGTTGTAACTTTAACAGATAATGTCATTACAGCAAGATGTGATTATTGTTGAGTGGTGTTGCCCTATTAATATTGGCATGCACTCTCATTTAATTGGATGTACAGCTCAAGATCACAAGCACCTCAACTACCTAAGGATTAAAGAAGATTCTGGAAGGAAAGTGGAGTGTCGTCCTCTCCCTTGTATAAACCTCATGAAGACCTTGTAATAGATTAGATGAAATTTTATTACCTCTAAAGAGAAGTTTGAGTGTCAGATCTCTTTAAGAATGTTTGAGACTACCATCATACTTTGTGAAGCTTGATTGTTCCTCTAGTGAAAGACTAAGGAAGTTTGATCATTTGTGACCTATTATTTACATAGTGGAAGTTTAATTCTGGACTAGTGTCCTATGAATTTTTACTTTTTCATATTGAAAAAGGTTTTCCCACGTTAAACAATTTGATTGTGTTCTTCTCTATCTCTCTCCTTTGCACATTTTTCTTACTTTCGTTGCGCTTTTCAACCAGGTGACTCAGGCCGACATCTGATTGTGTGTGCAGATATCAGAGCTCAAGGTCTGACTTAAACGCTTCCGCACCGAGTTAAGAGAACCGAGTTCCCAACAATTATAGCTAAGACATTTTAATATAATTAACATTTTATTTTTTGCATGTAAAACTTTACACTTTTGTTTACTTAATCATGCCCTAAATATATCGATTAGCAAATCCATATTAAAATCGTTGACAAAATGAATAGATATTAAGGCATATGAGCACACACGAGTACACACACAAACTACCCCAGGTATTTTATTGGAAGTAAAATCAACAGAGAGGGACGTTAATACAAGGTGGCAAAGCAGACGGGACGAGCCATCAACTCTTCAAAAAATGAGTTAACCTGCCCCGCCCTGCTTTTGAAAGAAAGTTGAAAAACTCACCCAGTCGGGCCGAACACGTTTTGTATTAAAAAAATGGGTTAGGTTGGTTGGGCGGAGCGGGTTTAGCTTGTTGTAAAGCCTATCGGGTCGAGTCCGTTTTTTCGGCCTTAGCAATTTAGAGTAAATGAAAATATTCCACAATATTTAATGAGTTTTAAATTACAATAATATTACATACACACACATATATATAGAGGGGTTTACATTTCTGCCTTTGTTGTACGTGTAACAGTTAAATATTTTCCATATATATACGTGAAAGCATTAAATATGAGGAATCATAATCATACAAAAGATAAAAGAATTAAATATTGGGAATTATAATCATACACCTGTCATTGTTGTACGTAAAGTGACTGTAGAAATGATTTTACCGTATATATATATATTATTTTATATTTATGTATTTTTATTATTTAATTACAGTTAATTTACTTTATTTTTTACCCTTACACTATAATTTTATCATAAATTCCGATGTGAATAAATGTTCCCACATGCAACATGTAGCAAGTTTCATGCTTTAAAGTTTAAATCGTAATCCTTACCTATTCTATCCACCATTTCTTATTCCATTCATATACAATTAAAGCAAACAAAAAATAGTAAAGGACTCCGTATCTTACACGTCAGTTAAAAGCTACCTAGCATTGAAGCATTATGACACTTTTTAACCACTCGAAGGGTTTTGTTTCCAATTTTGGGTTTTTACTTAGTATTTTTCTCGTTGAAAAATGAAATATTTCAACTTTTACTTTATCTAAGTTAAAATATAAAAGGTTAAAATAAGATTTTAAAACTTATAATTTTTATTTATTTGAATTTTAGTCCTTATAATTTATTTTCTTATTTATTGTTATTTTTAGTTATTTAAATTTTAATCTATACCAATAAAGTATAATTTTTTATATAGTTCAATATTTAAATTTTGATCTTTATAATTTTTATTTATTGAAATATAAGTCTTCATTTTGAAAAAAAATTATTTTTTATCTTTTCTTAATTAATATATTAATCCTTATAAAATTTAAATTTAAATACATAAAAATAATAAACTAATAAAAATAAATTATAAACACTAAAATTTAAATAAATACAAATTATAACCAAAGTCTTATTTAAACTTG